AAATTCTCCTATAAAGAAGATTTGTCTCTTCTCTCCTATTTATTCATTTTTTAGTTATTTATTTAAACCAGTATAGACTCATGGATATTTCATTTATTCTTTGGGTTATAATCCAATACTATGATAGTTATTTTGTTGTTCAAATTGTTACTGCTTTGGCCATCAGGAGCACTTTCCAGTTTGTTCTTGTGTCCCTTCGACATGTCTCATCCTTTTCTGAGCACCTCTTTACTTTCTGGGACCACAAGAAACTCTAGGCGCCTTTTGTGTCTTTCCTGCCCCAGTCCTAAGTCAACTACTTGTCCAAGGAGCCTCATTTTATTGACAATGATATTTAGAAACCAAAATGTGGACACTAGGTATGCTCATTGTCTCTGGGCCCTTTCAGTGGACAAAGTTAGGAAACACATGTAAGTAGACACATATCCCTATATTAAACACACATGTTCCTACTGATACCACCTGCTCCCAATTCAGCATCACAAGGTTCATTCTGTTCTCTATTTGTAACTTTTTTCTTCAACAGTGAGAAAACCTGTTACTACTATGTTTACTGTACATTTACTTATTAGCTCAACCCTATAAAGTAGTTTCAGAATTGCTAACCCATATTCCTTTGAGAAACAAATTTATCAACCACAACAGAGGTTGGCAAACTTTTTCTTTAAGGGCCAGATAGTAAATATTCTAGGTTTTGCAGGTCATATGATCTCTATTTCAACTACTCACCTCTGCTGCTGTACTTTGAAAGCAGCCATAGACAATATGCAAACATGGCATGGCTGTGTTCCAATAAAATTTTACTTATAAAGACAGATGACCAGCCCATAGGTGGTAGTCTGCTGACCCCTGAATTAGAGTACAGTGTTTGTATACAATTATTTTTGTCTTTAGGCTTACAGTATCCAGTCAAACACTATTTTCCAAGACTTAGGTACCCCTTTCAGTGTGGTTATGTATTTTCTTTGTCATATAATTAAATTCATTTTTCAGTCTGCATTCCATTTTTCTTGACAAACTCTGGTTGATTTGTTAAATTTACTTTTTGTGGCATACAATTCCTTGGGTTTTGACAAACATACAGAGTCAGATATCCACCAGCACAGGTCCATAGAAAACCATTCCATCACCCTCAAAATTCTCCAGTGCTATATCTTTATAGACAATCTCTCCTCCCAACTTTTGGCAATCAATAATCTTCCAATAAAGGAATCCTTTTAGCTTTGCCTTTCCCAGAGTGTCATGTAAATAGAATTATACAGTATGTAGTCTTTGGGGTCTGGCTTTCTACTGCTTAGCAAAAGGCACTTAAGAATCATCCAGGCCAGATGTGTTGGCTCATGCCTGTAATCCCAGCACTTTGGGTGGC